TTTCCAAACTATTTTGTAGAGCTTAAAAAACAAATAATTTAGTATATTGAAGCGTTATAATGCACCTAATGGTTACGGAGAAAATTTCAAAAAGTTTTAAATTTAAAATTCCCATGTTATTCTTATGGAGAATAAGTACACTGTTGTAGTTTGCTTGTTTATTAACATTTTTGCCCAAATTTGGAAAATGTTTTGATTTCTTACTAACTATTAACATTTTACATAACAACACTGTTACCCTCCCTGTTGCAGCAAACCTAAGTATGTGTTAAACTGATTCTATTTAAATAGGGAATAAATGTGATATTTTAAGGAGACATTTTAGTGTAAATCCAATCAGGCAAATGGAAATTCGCTTAGTCTGCAGGTTTGCTGCGGCGGGGGTATTTACAACTTAATGCACTTAATCTCTACATTTCCAATGAATATGAGAACTGCCATACTTTACAATATGTACACAGTTATAATTGCCGTTTCAATTCGATTAATATTATAACAAAATAAATATAAATTTTACTTTTAACCCCATCTGAATTGTAGCTGGAAATAACGCTCAGCTAGAAACCTACCTAAATTTAGTATGTATCCTGTTTTACCTAGAGAAAAATCAAAACAGTTTTCATAATTTAAAAATGTAAACCAGATATCCTTGATTCCAAGGCTTACAGGAAATAAGCCTGGACCAAATTTTAGTTTTAACAAAAAATAAACATCTTTAAAGGTTGCACTAAAGACTTAGATACCTTATTAGGTCCAACATTATGTAAACATTTGTTAAATCTAAACATATATGGGGATTATTCATCAAATTATCCATCAACAAAACAATGTTCATGAATTAATAATAGAGAACCGTTCTTTTTCATTTTAATTTGAAGTTTAAACGGAATACAAACCGTAGTATAATAAATTCAACTAAAGAAAAGCCCTTTTAAAATGTTGCCAGTTAATATTTCTTAACAATTCGGGTAGTATCAATATATTTATACTTTTTTTATAAACATCTTTTATTAATATTCAGAAATTATAACCTTCAATTTCAATTGAAGGTAGATTGTCGATTTAATCTAACGAATAATAAATAAATTGTATTATAAAAAAACCACTTGTTTAAGTCTAAACTATTATGTATGATGCAAATGCACTATTGGTCCATTTGGCCTAAGGAGTGATAATAATGTACCCGGGTACATTAGTAGGGTGAATTTATGATGATTAACACTAAATTGGGTAGGGCATTGTTGCTGATTCCTACTAACCAACAATATATTATGTTCCAATAGGCATTCTATTTCCTAGCGTTGTGTAAGAAATAGTCCGGTTTTACCTGCCAATTAGGGACAACTTGAAATATTTGCATAAATATAGTTTTATATCGTTTAAAATGTAAAATCCTATGAAATTTATGGTAGCTACTATTTTAGGTTCAAATGCAACACATTAAAAGATGGATTAAAATAAAGCCACTCGTCAGGCTCCCACGCCATCTAATGTACAAAAGTCTACATTACAAATAATATCGTAGATTACCCTATTTTTACACTAACATTTACATTCTAAAACTTAAAACTTAAGACAAAACAAATTATGCCAGCCATGTGTTAAAACCAGCTATGTTACAGTCAATAGTATCAAAAGTACTTTAAGCATTAGATTTTCAAATCATTTGCATATTTAAATACGCCTAAGTAACGTGGTTAAGTATCGAATAGGGATTGTGAATTCCAGATGTAAAGCTAGGAAGGAAGGGAGAAAATATAATCAATGTTTCAAGATGGTTCGGTGCTAAAACTGGAACTCGCCTTCTAAAGTGGTCTCACAAACACTTTACTCTGCTTCTCGCAGTCTCCCTGCTGTATGTCATATGAACTCCACTTAACCTCGAGGTACTTCTAAGGCTACTGACATAACCAAAATAAGACGTTAGTCTAAAAGTAAATTTAATCGGTTTAATCGGATGGAATGATTTTGAAAAGCCAAATAAAGACAATCACTCAATCAATCAATTATTAAAGATCAATTATTAAAGATGATATAACATTTTTTTAATAGGTTTAGAAAGACAAAAAAAAAATCTCTAATTGTTTGTGAAAATTATGCTTATAAAACTAAAGTAGTATTATTTCCAAGATCGATTTCAATTTTGGTTAATTTAGAGTTATATTCTAAGCAGATACTTTTATAGTTTTTTAGCATTGAAAATTAATAACTCGTATCTCCTGTAACGCTGTTTTCCATGGTGTCAAAAACTATTCAGAAAAAAAATTAAGTAATAATTAAATTACTTAAAAACAATATATTTTATAGAAGATTTTTTTTTAAGTTACAATGAATATAAAAGAATGGAATCACAGTCAAAGTAAAAAGTATAAATATTACTTACGTATACTCATTAACCACGTGCTAACATTTAAGGATCTAAAAATGTTTTCAACTTATTATCACCGGTATATTTTCATTATATAACATTGTTTATAATTTTAAGCTACTATAATAAACATATATCATTGCTAACAACGTAATACACTTAACAACAAACCAATTAATTAAATTATGATATATACTTTTTGTAAGTAAGTTTCTTGTTTACATTGTACATTAGTTTTTTATTATGTTTAACAAAGATAATAAATATTTAACTCACTCTCAACGTTCCAAATAGAATGAATTTCAATTGCGAGGTCAAAACCAACCGAAAACCGCGTTGGCAGCTAAACACATCCAGACCACAATCGCTTGTTTCGTTGGATGGTTTGGTCATTTTTGCTCTCTGTCTTTGACGCCGCACAATTTCCCGTAAATTATTTTATCATGATGTATAAACCTAAATAATGTATTACCTTCCCAAAAATTTATTATATGATAAAAACATTTTTGTAGAGTTTCTAAATTTTAATGATGTTTTGTATTGTGTAAATATATAGGAATAAATAAATTGAAAATACAAATACAAAATGTATCATTATTATTATTATTATATTTTGAAACATATCGCATGCGTTGTAGCAAATTTAAGCTTAAAGGAATAAGTTTTCTTAAGCCAGCATATTTTGTAGATTACGGTAAACAAATCCCAGCATTTAAGATTGGAAATATATTGGTCTAAGACCAGTAGCATAAAACTAGGCCTTACCTGGGCAAAATTAATAACAAAGCAAAACCAGCTGGAATTTGTTAGGCATGCATTCCTTAACATTTTGTGAAAATTTCCAACTTTTACCATTGTAGAAAAATCTGCCATCCTGGAAAATGGTGGACAATCCATAAAATACTGCAAAGTTCCACTTAAAAACGTATTTTTTCCAAACCATTCCATCTAGAAAAGTCTAATTAGTCTAAAATCTTCGCTATAATGTTATCAACAAGAAAATATCATATTTAATTATAGTAAGATGATTTTAATAGTGAAAGAAAACGTATTAAATTTAAAAGTATGTAAACAAATGTAGACATGTCCTTACTTTTACGCGGTTTTTGCCATTATAATTGAGGAAATGCAGATTTTACCTTTTACCAAACTTGTAAGGCATTAAAGTCCGCTCCATTTCCATTTATAATATAGCAATGTTTCATAAAATGTTAAGGGACGCATGCCTAACATATTCCACTTGGTTTTGCTTTGTTATTAATTTTGCCCAGGCAAAAGTCTTAATGGCCTAGCCTATATGCACTATTATTGTTACTTTTGGGAGATTGACCACTTGTTTACAGCACAGCTATGGATTTTTACGACAAATTACATTTAAATGCAGTTATGTTATTATTGAATGTGATGGTCAATAAATATTTGTTTTACTTATATGCGTTTATTTGATAAATGCATTTTTACAAAACACTATCTTGCTATAAAAGGAATATAATTATTTAGTTTAAAATACGATATACAAATAAAATATATAATTGTCATTAAGTATACGACAATGCATAAAGAAATTAAAATCCAAACACTTTGATGTCACATACTCAGGATACATTGCAATATCTGATGGAAAAGTTTGGAACACGATGTACATATTTCAACGAGTTTCCCAAACGGCACTGTCCGAATACGAATGAAAGAGAAACTTTCGTCATATTTCGAAACTTTTGTAATATTTTTAGAATGAAACGTGATGTGTGAAATATTCTCCTCTCCAGACGTTTTGTTGAGTTATTTCAATAATGAAATTCCTACTTAACTTACAAAGCGTTTCTTCAGATATCTGAGAATATTTTCCTTCAGCGGGATACGTATAAACAACTTTAGGGTGTATCGTACGTATAAAGTATTCGTTTGAAATCAATAGATTCAAAATTGTAAACAATTGTTTAAAAGGACAATTAATTAATTATTAGAGTATGTTGCTTGTTTGATTTATTCACCTTATTGTCTTAGTGTTGCTAGTGACTCATAATTTCAATGAATAAGTTATGTAAGTAAAGTTTGCAAGGCGAAATTTGGAGTAAACTATGTGCTGTGTTAAATTTTAGGTTTATGTTCACACTTATAAATTAACAAGACAGGCAGTTTAATGATATGTCTATTAAATTATAAATTTTGTCGAAACGTTTCGCATTTTAACTCGTTAGAATTAATTCAAATCTAACAGGGGAATGCCAAGAAATACATTGCATAGTATTGGCTATTGTGAGTTTAGCGTAAGTTTATACTGTATGGGTGTCATTAGAGCCAAATATATTTTAATTATAATCTAGTTTCATGTATTGTATGTACTTTAAACATAATTACATATTTATGAAGGTGAGTTCTTAACATTTTCATCAAATGACTATTACATACACAAATATCATACTTACTTTTTCGTAAGAAAGGGAATTATGTTTTAAACGTTTGTTGCTTTCAAAGATTTCAGTTTTACTCTTATCCCACAGGAATACACAAGTTCATGGCTATTAAACCACACAAACGCCTCAGAACACGTTGCATAACTAACTTTTATATACTTGATGTTAAACTTGTTTTGCTTGGTTCTAAATTATGTTTATTTTTATGAACTTACTTCTATCGATAAAGCGGAAGGTCCCGATGAATCCGGACGAGTTGCTGTGATGCTCATCTGTGTGGAACTCCAACACCAGTCCGGAACCCGAGGAGTAGAAGACGTGGGGTACATCACTATAGCCTCCACACAGGAGTCCAGACCAAGGGGTGTACTCATTAACCTCCCCTCGCTCCAGGTGTAGGAACAACTTGACAAAGTCCCCTCGAATGCAGCTGAAACGATGATGAAACAGTTTAGAAAACATGAAATATATTGCTCGAGCACACATTGTTTTGAACCAAGAATTACTCATTGAGTTCGACTCACTGCACGTGAAGAACAGCTTCACTGAGTTTCGTCGTAACAACGTTGAAACAAGTAGTAGAAGACGTCAGATTATATTAATATAGCTTCATTCAGTAGTTCAAACTAAGGGGCGGACTCCTTGACACCTCGATCTAGGTGTGGAGACAGCTTGAAAAAAGTCTCCTCGGATGAATCAGAAGCAATAGTAAAACAATTAATAGTGGACACAGGACATATCATTCACACAGGGCATCAGACCAAGTGGCCATGAGATCAACGATCATCAAAAGATGTAGAAATATAATGTGAAAAAATCCTCGTATTCAGCTCAAACAATGATACAAATATATTAGAATGCAAAGGACATAATAAAGTAGCTTGGCACAGAAATTTGGACCAAGGGATGTACTCATTTTGTTCCCCTCTCTCTAGCTATAGTCACAACCTGACAAAGTATCCTCATACTCAGCTGATATAACGATATTAACAGTTGTAGTAGACTTATAAAATAGCACTGTAATTCTTACACATGAGGGTGGTAAATGATATACTCACTGAAATACATCTATAAACGAACAATGAAACAACCAATATTACGATTGAAAAAAATTACAATCTTTCAGTATGTTTCTTTGGGGAGATTTCTAGAATAATAGCTTTTAACGATAAGGTACAGCAAACTAAGGTAAGGATATTTACCGAGTAAAGGAAGTGTGTGAGACAGAACATTCGTCACCTACATAGCTCGGAAATTACAACCAACCGAGATTTGGAGTATGCAGTAGGACTACTTAAACTGTCAAAGCAAAACTGGTATTGTTCAATTACTTCCATATGCCACCTTATATTTAATAGTTTCACTAATAATATGCATATATTGCCTAAAACCAGAAACGTATTCTTTAACCACTGATTTTCGAACAAGTTGTGTAAATAGATCTTTTTTTGTCTACACTTTAAAGTTACTGCAATAGCTTCATAAGTCAATCATTCCATACATTATAAAAAACGTTTTTCATCACTAGCTGTTTACTACTAGATCTTATATAAAATGGTTGGATAGCTGACTAGTGATAGAGCTCGCTTGAAAGTTAAAGGTTGCCAGATCGATCCTGAGAAACTTCAGAAACCTTTTGATGGTTCAAAACTGGACAAGGCTGGTCCTCATCATTGGGCCTTAAAGATGCTCTCCTGGCTAATGAAACAAGTGGTCGTAGTTGGTAAAAAAGCTACACAGATCATCTCGCTCCATTCTAAACTCATGTTTGAGTTAAAATACACACCTACGTAATGTCCCCATATCAATTGATAATGCTAATGATTGGTTCAAAGTTGTATAAATAGTTATATATTCAATACTATAAAAGTATCTAGTAAGAACAGATAACTAGAATCCTGCCATTTCGATGTCACCACAGATGTACTAAATGATTTTAAATACGACCATTTATAAACTAACCTTTTTAATACAGTTCTTAGAATCGAACAGATTCACATTACAGTATTTTTTATTTACTTTACAGTATTTGTCAACGACGCTGCCCCCGCCATCAGGCATATCATTCAATCATAGTTTAATTATAATAGTAGCAGAACACAGGTTGTTGCTAATTTGAATAATAAAACATTATTTATAAAGCAAGAGAATAAATAGAGCTTGTTTGGTTGAACAACAGAATGTAATTATATTCGTTTACAAAATATAAATACTATATAATCAAAGAACAACTGAACATTATGATATCATATAAACAGCAAAAAAGATAAATTAATTGTATATTACAATAGGTAAATTATGTTATTGTGTAATGAGTGGTGACAGTATTGTTTTGTTACATTGCAGTAAAAGTTTGGACCAATGAGGATCAAGAATTAAGAGAAAAAAGTAAAACTGTAACACTTCAACTTATCATGTGTTAAGACCAATTTAATTGATTAATAAGTGAGTGGTCCGTACATTAAGTCGATGCATCGCTATCAGTGGCAATGATAGGTTATAAACGAAAACATAACCTCTTTTGGAAGTTACGAGTAGTGATTTTTTGTAATTAAGAAATGTTTATAGGTAAATTAGGTAAATAAAATTTACGACACTAATAGAAGTTTTAAAAGCACTCGTACATTAAATGTTCTATTCGAGTCATTAAGACTATCCTTACGCGATCGTTGCGTAAGCTATTATAACAGTATTGTTTTTATACTATGTAATAACATTTTGGAGGGGTTAACTTAAAATAGTTATATATCAAGGATAAAGCTATACCACCATAAAAATTGATATATTTCTATATTTAAATGGATTATGGCTGCAAATAGTAAGAAACAGATAGCATGTTATTGTTTTTATAACAGTATTAAATGGAATAATATGGACCAATCATGTACGGTTTTGTTTTACACAACTCAACTATTTATGTATCGTAAATATGTTCAAGTAGTGTACACAAATTGGTCATAACTGCATTTTGAATTACATGGGACGAACAACAATGAAAATCCAACCGTATGTTTTGTAAAGAGGAAACCGTAACAGTAAGTGGTGCACATTTTGTATCCACCACAATACAAACCACATCTATCCTGTCAGAGCATAAAATATCCTGTACATTTAAACCTGCTGTTTGTTATCGTGTTTTACAATGATAAACATAGTTCATTCAGAACACAAATAACATTTATTGCTATACGTAGTGATTATACAGGGTGTCCACAAAAGATTATTACAATTTCATACCTAAGCTATATTTTTATTTATTTAACGTACAATGCTCTATCTTTGTTAATTGTTACGGCCACACACCATAGTTAGGGTTTACACACAATAATTATTGGCAAGCCTGCTCTTCTAAATTCCTTGGGTTTTTTGTGGGATTATTTTGGTTTTTATTGTGAACTTAAATATAAATTGTTGACTATCAGATACAATAGACTAGGTCGGGAAACTAAACTTCCTTCTTTCCCTGGCATCACCCCTTCTGATAGAGTTTACCCTTATTATATGGTAAATAAGGGGTATAGTCTACCAGATAAAACATCTCAGTTAATGAATTAAGGAAGAAAATTAGTACAGCATTTCTTTAAAATCAAAACAAAATGCAAACAAACAATTTTTGATACATGAATTCACATGGAGATAGCGTTATTTGGAATCCTAGAGAGAGGCATTTATAACTCTATCTCTTAGCTCAATATAGTGTTTTTGACAAGTAGACATCGTCTTTTATTTACCCAATAGGGAGGGAGAAAACACACATATTGATGTCGAAAACTAGGAAGCCAGTAGCCAACGTCGTCCATTAAATCAGCTAGTCAAAATTTTGTATTTTAGGTCACAATACCTATTCGGATGAAAAAGCTTGGCAAAAAATATAAGTAATACCATTGACAATTATTACTAGCGCATTCTGTGACTGGCTCACGTAACTATGCCTTTTTTTTTACAAATTGCAAGCATCTGTTCCATTTAAATTAGATGTCTACTTCAGTATCCAATAGCCAACGGTAAAACTAAACTTTAGCATGTAGCCGAACCAACAAACAAAGTTAGAACATCGCGTTTTGTAAAGTAACAGTATGGCTAATGTATGAAATTATACTTATCCTTTATGAACACCCTGTATTATCTAAAACCATTTAAAACACTAAAATTATTTAATATACTTTTGTCAACGGTTGTAAACAAAATATAAAAATAACAATTCTTTATATGCTTTAATTATTCAATCAAAATATGGTCAATATCGTGTGCATTGTAGGACAAGAATTACATTCTGATGAGAAATGAACATCCTGTTATAAATATATATTCCTATTCACTCTCATATATCGTTGGAGATTGTTTGAATTTTTTTTTCACAAGTAAATAAGTAATTTCTTGTTAGAAAGCAATGCACTTTACTATCCTAGATGTAAGAACTTTGTCACAATATGGTTTAAACATAAAATTAGGACATAACTAACTATTATCATGAACAACTTTACGATTCCTCGAAGCGATGAAAACTATATAAACTGCCATCTTGGCAACCCTCCCACTGTAACGTTTGGCTTCTCAGTTATCCTACTTGAATATGCAATTAGCTAAGACAAATTCAAACAGTCCGCCACTGATACTCCTACTCGTTAGTCTTAACACAGTTACATACTATCTTGTCACACATGAGCTTTCATATCATTACTATTGTAAAGAAATATCCCTATTTATGCATATAACTATGTTTAGAATTTTGTTCTGTAAATATTTTTTTTTGTTTTAGTAGACTAGGTTTTTTTTCTGTAAACCCTGATGACAAAAAGTATCCACTGTTATTTTTGGTTTGTAAATAATCCTCTGTAACCTTAGGGGTGTATTTCAATCCTGATTATTGAACAATCGTATAATGGAGGACTTCTTGAAATCAATATGCTTCAGCTTGGCAGAGAATTGCCCAGGAAATACAAGAGATGAATAAGAAAAACTAAGGAACACAAACAACATTCTATGATTTTAAGCTGCTCAAAAAATTGTATAGTTTAAATACGTCACTTGAAGGACTTTGTTTACAAAAAATTGGAGAAAGTTATCACATTAAGTTAAAGTGGCATGCAATAAGCATTATTTTTATGTGTCATTTATATGTGATAGGGTAATTAGTATTACATTTGTACTATTTATAATTGTGGTGTTCTCATTGACTCAAGATACATATTTAGTTTTACTTTTTACAAGAGAACAAACAGTATAAAGTTAATTATGTGTTTTAATCGGGACGTTACGTCGGTACGATTAATTACAGCCCACGTAATGCGTGTTATAACGTCATAGGTAATAAAATGTAAACTTTTAACTAGCATGGAATTTACCCCATATAACGACTACAATGTGATATCTACACCATTCGTAAAACCCCAAAGAACACTACAAGATCCATTTGAAGGTATTCGATCT